GGCAACTTTGATGCAAACCATCCAGCACCCAACTACTGGGAAAGAGAAATTATTTGCTTAAAGACAAGAAGCCGTTAGGAAGGAAATTGAACGGACATTTGGCATGTTGCAAATAAGGTGGGCTATAACGCATGGACCAATATATTATTAGAAAAAAGAATATCTGAGCAAGATAACGAGAACGTGCATCATAGTACACAATATGATCATAGAAGGCGAGGGCGACACTAACATTTTGGAATGGACACCTCCAACGGATGAGCCGGTCTACTTTACACAATACTATTGAAACCGATCATTTTTTGCAGCACACATCTCCACTCGCCCCAACAGGATTCGCAATGCAGAAAACAATGGGGATTTCAGGAGAGATCTCATGGAGCATTTATGGAATAAATTTTTTAATGAAGAAGTTTAACGATAATATCGAGTAAAATGTATTTTTTCATATTGTATGTTTGTGATGAATAAATTATTATTTTAAATCTTTTTTCTTATATATTTGTTGACAAATTTTAAAGAAATTTTTTTCAAAAGACAAAGAAATAGAAATCATACATATTTATTTGAAAATAAAAATAAAAAATAAAAGAAAATGATCAAAATCATAAATCATAAATATTTTTTTTACAATAAAATTAAATTACATATAAAAGGAAATAGTAAAGAAAAAAAACCATCTCAAACAATATTATTTTTTTTTAAAAAAAATTCATATATATTTGTTGACAAATAAAAAAAAAATATATTCAAAAGACAAAGAAATAGAAATCATACATATTTATTTGAAAATTAAAAAAAAAATCACAATTATAAATCATAAATATATATTTTTTTACAATAAAAATAAATTACATATAAAAGGAAATACTAAAGAAAAAGACCAAAAGAAAAAATGTAGGCCAGTTATCACTCGCAACTGATATGTTATCTGTGGCGATTGGCTTTGCGATTCTTCATCTAGGATCCACCATTTGCTAGCCCTATACCATGCAACACAATAGCTTCCCTGACTTCCCAGATGGCAATATAGAGCCACTACAACGGTTGCTCTAAACGTTGGGTTCTCTTTGGAAAGAGTATAAAGAGATACATTTATATAGCAAGAAAGCCCAATTCAATTTAAGCTCGAGAAACAGAAGAAAATAAAGTCCAGTTCGTTGGCGTTCCGAGCAGTGAACAGAGACGACGAAGGCAGAAAACGTGTAGAGAAAGCGAAAGTGCATATGCAGAGCCCTCAGTTTCTCCCTTTCCAACAGACCTAATTCCTTGCTCTTGAGACACCCAATCATCGACAATCACTGGATCGACGACTACAACTACAACACTAGCTACGAGCAGATCAATGATGATTGACACTTAACTCATCCCAGATCTCAAATTTTTTTTTTTTTATCTTCACCTCTCTTGATAGCTGGTTATGCTATTCAAGAGTAAATATTGAGTGTGTCGGGCACGTTAGTGTACCAATTCAATCAAATATAAAATATTATTTTTGTCATTATTAATTTTACAAGTAAGTGGGCCAATTTTTTAAATTAATTTTACAAGTTGGTGGACCAATTTTTTTTAAAAATAATATATTATTATTAGTCGGACATGCGAATAACTTGGCACCCATGGCGTACCGTTGAATGAGTTATTGATTGGGTTCATGGTGTGTTTATCGAGAAACATGAGGTGGGGGACCAATTGCAATAGTGATGGATGGTGTTCCATGGGCCCTACAACAGCATGTTGTTTATGTGCACTTTGCGGTTACATGTGGTGCCCACGAGCTTTGTTAATGGACCCTTAGATGGAAGGTCGATGTGGAATTTGTTCACAGTTATCCTCCTTATTTGTTAGGGGTGACTGATGGTAAATATGTTTGTCTAAGTCCTGTTAATAAATACGTAGTATATATATGTTTTTTCAACTGAAATAAATATAATGTTAGCTGGCTTTTGGTAAAAATATAATAATCTTCACCTTTCAGATATATAAATTATACACACACACACACACACACATATATATATAACATGGATTGCCAATTTAAAAAATAAAATCATAATTATTGAACTTGTTTTTTTTTTATTATTATTATTATCTTGCTTTCAAAATATTGAAAATATGAAAAATTACTGAACATTATTTTATTTTTTATTTCGGCCTAATAAATCAAAATCATAATTTTGCTTTTGGTAAAAATAAAAAGTAAGAATCACTTCATGTTAGTGAACGACCATTAGAATTAGAGACGGATACTACAATTCGGATCCACAACACAAAAATTAGATCAAAATATTTTTTGGTGAAAATTGGGTCGCAATAGGACTCAAACCAAAACAAAATTGATTTCACAAGAGTCGTGACTAGTTTCCCATACTCTTTTTTTTTAAAAAAAACTACCGAACAATTTTGGTTGTTTCTTTAATATTTTTAATAATGTCTTCTTTCTTTCTCTTCCTCCTCACTGTTTTTATGTGTTTTGGAAAAAGAAAACATACTAATTCCAAATGAACTCCAATTTAACTGTTTTCTAAAATCTGTTTCTAAACAGATTGAAAAAAAAAAAAAAATTTGTTTAAAATAAAAGAGAATCAAATAATTAAGACAAAGACATTGTTAACTGCAATGAAAACCTAATCTTAACATTTTATGTGAAGGAGTGGAAAATATCAGTTGAGATAGGACTGATACCTACGCACTAAAATTAAAGTCAAAGTTGAATAATTAAAAATTATGTAACTATTTGACTATTGACATTTAAGAATTTAATGTCACAATCGTGACAATTGACATATAATATATATATATATATGTATGTATGAAATGGGGTATATCATAAAAACCACTACTTGCAGATCAGCAGTACATTCTCAAGCTTCTCATGAAGGACACAAGTCCTATGAATTTGGTAAAATGTTTGACTCCACATTTATGTCTCCTCAATCAATTAGTGAACAAATCCCCACCACAACGCGTCTCATTCACTACTTGTTTGGCTTTCGTTGTCCGGAAATAAAAGGTCCAATCACAATTAATATTAGACTCATATTTGGCTAAAGACTCAAAACGTTCACATCCTCGAAAAAGACTTTTTGTCCATTTTTATTTCATTGTATTCCTTCACTCCATTTTCAACTTTGTTCAAACTGTCCACCAATCCCGGAACTTAATCCAAGCTAAGGATAGGCTCGAGTTGTGATTTTCTAGTTTGAGGTTGGTGAGTCGTGAGGGTTTTGTATTTCAAATTGAGAATGACCTTTTTGTCCATTTTTATGACATTATATTTTAACTTCTTTTGACTTGATCTAGCAAGAAAATTTTAAAGGAAAATATCTGTTTAACCCTTACCCGATGTCCCGATCCGAAATTAATCCAAATCAAAGATGGGCTCAAGTTATGATCTTTGCATTTGAAAGTCGGTGAGCTCATGATTTTGTATTTTCAATTAAGCTTTAATTAATGTATCCGGATCTTTAGCGTGTTGTGATTTTTCAACGCAATTAAGTATGTTTTCAACACTTTAGATTTGGTTGAAAGTAGGCTGATTCAATGTGTTGAAAAATATTTTTCAACAAATTAATGTGTTAAAGAATAAATTTAATTGTGTTGAGTTTCACGTGTAGCACAATGCAGTGCACTACAGATGATTTAACAAAGCTGGCTCTTCAGCCTAAGTAACTCAAGGTGTTACAACGGTTATAGCACGACACCACAGTGCAGTGCATAGAATCTAACTCAATTGGCGACTCTTCAACCCAAGTAACTCATGGTATTACAATTGTTATAACACACAATGCTGTGTACTAATGAGAATTCGACTAAGCCGACCCTCAACTCGAGTAACTCACGGTGTTACAAATGTTTGGTACAATGCACGATGGAGAATCTGACTCAGCTAGCACTTCAACCTAGGGGTGACAATTTTTATCGGCCCGTTAATAATCGATATGAGAACAATTTTTATATCGTTGGGGCGGGCATGAATACAAATTTTACACTCGTCGCGGATCACGAGACGGGTAAGAGTTCTTATAAATATTCGCCTGGCCCCGCCCCGCTAAGCATAATAACTATATTATATATATATATATATATATATATATATATATATATATAATATTAATAACTTATTTTACCGCTTACCCAGTTACCCATTTATTATAATCTTAATTTTTTAAACCTTATGTATGAACTGAGCGGTGCATCACGGGAAGACAGAGAGTCGAAACTCAAAAACCAAGCCCTCGACCTCAATCCCTCTCTCCCTCACCAGTCTCTATTTCTCTTTCTCGGGTAGATCCACGCACTCATACAGGTTGATCTATTCTTCTTCAATTCTTCTTCTCCCTTTTTTATACTTATATATATATATATACACATACATACACTATATATCTCTTATTTTATAATTTATTTGATCTATTCTTCTCAGGCAAAGGGATTCATCTATTTTTCGTCTTCTTCTATTATGGCTATTCAACCAAGAAAATTGTGGAAGACACCAGATCAATTTTTGAGCCAAGAAAATTGTAAAAAAAAAAATTGTTAGCAGGGTGGGCAAAAACTTGCCAAAAATTAAACCAGGTAGGGCAGGATTTAGGAAAATCCGCTCCAAACTCGCCCTGTTGCCATCCCTACTTCAACTTGAGTAACTCATGATGTTACAAAAAGGTACAACATAAGTACACATGTTGAACTACAGTGGACGGTCAAAATTATTTAATTCAAATAAATAAGTCTACGTGTGTGTGAATGATCTGACTGTCCAATGTAGTCGACTCTTGTTTACAAATAAACTATGCTTCATTTTAAGTCCTGTGGCCCATGCAGTTGGACTTTTAGGACTAACAAGCCAGCCCAATCTTTTCAGCCCCGCTTGGAACCAGAATGTGATTGCCACGTACTACTATAAGCGCGTGAAGAGAGCACGTTTGTGATGTGACGATTCAATGACTAATCATAGTCTATCTTATAAGCTATACAATACAAATCCAATGAAACAAATACAAAAATAAAACTTGAACTATGAACAAATCGAAGTCTGAAGAGAGGCATTCACATTTCATTCATGTCAATACCAACTCATCACATTCTTCAATCCCCACGCATTCAAATCCTCTATCCGACTCGTCACATCCTCCAAACTCAACTCACCGATTCCACCAAGAGATGGTCCGCAACTCAGTGAATCCAGACCACCACGTCTCCAACGGCGACGACAATGCCAGCTCCGGCGGCGGCATTGGTGGCCTCGGGTTCCGCTCGATTCGCGACCGTTTCCGCTTCAAGCGAAACCCTAAAACTAACCACGCCGCCCTGAACGACGGCAGGGACCGAGGCAAGGCGGCGTTGTTGTCGGATCGGCAGTGGCGCGCCGGCCGATCTCACTACCACCACACTCGATCCACAGCTCGGAGGATTTTGTCGTTTCCATTCAGAGGCCGGTCGTTGTTCTACTTCTGTATATTCTTTGCCGTGTTTGTGTTCGCGTTGGCGTCGATGGTGTTGCAGAGCTCGATCACGTCGTTGTTTCGGCCCGGGAGTGAGAGGGGGAAGTTGCTGCGGGAGGGTTTGAAGTTCGGGAGTTCATTGAAGTTCGTGCCGGGGAGGACGGGCTGGCAGCGGCTATCGGAGCGAGGTGGTCTCGATCGGTTGCGGAGGGAGCCGAGAGTCGGTGTTCGATCACCGAGACTTGGACTTGTGAGTGTTGTGAAGTTGAGTTTTGTTTCAATTTGAGTTAATTTTAGATTCAGAATTGAGCCTGTTTGTGTTTGATTTGATTTCAATTTTTTATTTTTAATTATTATTATGAGATGGTTATTAACTTATTATCCAGAGAATTACATTCTACCCAATCATTAAATTGGGACACAACTAAATGTCAATGCATTGCCCCTTTATTTGAACTGATTAGAGTTCATGATTTCAGCTTTGTGAAGAAAATAAAGCTTAAGCTAAATAGAGGGAAATAAGGTTATATTAGATGTGGAAGAGGGATGTACATGTGGAGAAAAATGTTTAGCTTATAGATTGGTTATGGTGTCTTCTTTACTTGATCAGTATAGTGGTCAAAAAATATAGCTTGAAGGGAAGTCACTCAACATTCTATGCGGCACACCAGGAGATCCCTCACTGTCTCAAGCCTATATGGAATGGACCTAGCCAAGTGTGGGATAGCCGTTCTGCTAGGCTTCCGCCATGTTGACAGGCACCCTGACCTCTGCTTGGAGTGGGGAAGTATAAGTAATTTCCAGTGAAGGGGTGAGCAAGGCATAGTTCAATACTGCCTAAGAAAACAACTTATCAAAAAAAATTACTGCCTAAGAAAACAGTATGCACCATAAATCTTGGCACAACTAAGCACTGAAGAAGATGATTGGTGGTCTCCTATGGCTCCTCACACATGCAACTAATTACGGATTCTTTTTTCCCCTTCCTAAGTTATTCAAATTTAAAATTGCCTCCAAAGATGTGGACCACAAAAGGAAATACCTTTCCAAGGGAATTTAGACCCATCTTCCTTGTAAAGCACTGCAGAACAATCGAACCTGAAAACTATTGTGTTTGCTAAGGATCATTCAAGGTGTCGTCTATATCCGACAAAGAGAAGAGCTACAGAGTACCTCCAAAATAGTACCAAGAGATATAAATTCTCAACACTATAAAGCTCTGTAGGTACAGGGCTCTCACATCATTCTGTCTGAAAAAACTGATATTGAGGTAATTCTAACAAGATTTGGGCGAAATTCTCACTCTTTGGCACGCTTCCAGACCAAAGGTGCTCCCGGAATTCTTCAAAGGAATATTTGATGTATTAGTAGGCCGATTTTTCTATTCTGGCTTGCTTTGCATCGTGAGCTCAAAACTCATCATATATTTTTGGCTTGCCAGGTCTTTGCTTAGAGGACCTTCTACATGAGGAAGGTGAACATCTTGATGTTGGAATGATGAGTCACTGGACATGGTGTTAGTTTTTTTTTTTTTTTTTTTTCCTTCTTTTTCCCATGGTGTTAGTTAGTCATAAAATAAAAGTCATTTTGAGCCCCTATCTATTTTAAAAAAGGAGGACCTATTATTATGGGGTGGCTGGGAAATTGTGACGGAAAGGATACTTGGAATTTAGAAAATCTGGAACCTTCTTAAAGATAGAAGCAAATTCAGATGCTTTAATGTGTGTTTGCTTGTTAACTAGGGTTGTTGGGGAGGCTAATGTCTCACCAAATGTTTCCCTACAAGTGAAATAATGCAATTTGTTCCTAATAGGCAATAAGAACTGTAGCTTCTGAACCCTTGAACCTGTTGTTTCGTATCCACATGGACAAGATAATTGGGTGGTGACACATGGGAATGCCAGAAATAGGGATGGCAACAGGGGCGGGTTTGGGTGGCTGTACCCTCCCCCGCCCCCGTAACCGTTTACAAAACCTCGCCCCCGTCCCCTTTCCCGTCCAAAACCGCAAAAACAGGGAGGCTTTCCACCCCATCCCCGTAACCGTTTAACATTTTTACCCCCGCGGGTACCCGTCCTGTCCCGTTTAAGACCATAATTTATTTATTGTTGAAATAAATTTGCTCTTTTTTTTTTTTAACCCCTCATCTTCAGTTTTTCACCATTGCAACTTTTCTTTTAATCAATTCATTTGTTCTTTAATATTGTTATATAGGGTACTTAATATATATACTGGGAAATATATATACTAATGAAATAAGGGTATTTAAGTAATTTGTCTATCTAAACGGGGCGGGGTGACCTCCCCCTACTCCCGCACCAAACCCGCGCGGGTTTTTATTACATCAAACCATCCCCGCCCAAATAACCTAAATAGTCCCCCAAAACCGCCAAAAACGGGGCGGGGCGGGTCAAATTGCCATCCCTAGCCAAAAGAGACCCTCAGCGTAGAGATTGATGAATACCACACTTTGGAAATGTCCATAGAAGAGTTTTGTGATTAGGTTCAATTGAAATTGGGGATTTTGGTTTGTGGACTAATGAATGCTAATTAATTAAATTAACTTTCACTTTGATGGGTGCTCTTGAAATCATTAAGCGATCATATTTTTTACATTCTCTTATTCTCAAGCTTTGGTGAGATGGATATGACTATGGTGAAGTTAGGGGACTTATGGGTAGTTTGATGGGGTGGAAGATCCTCAAGGTTATCGAGCACTACAAGGTAAGACGCAAAAAGTCCCTTGTTTGGCTGCCTGGAAGCGTAGTTGCATGATTACAAATAGAGGAGGAAGGACCTTAGATTCTTTTATTGTTTCTTTTGATAAGTAATAGACAAGGACAGCTATTCCTTGCTCCTTTCACTTGTGATTCACAAGAGATACCACTAAAGCTAACTAACAGCTGGTGGTACGTTAGAGGACTCTTTTGGGGATTTATTCCAAAAAATACTTCCATAAGTGATGTTCTTCCCTCCCTCTATCTCAATTCCCAGTTCAAAGACGAGCTGAAGTGTTCATGTTTGACAACAGGTAGTCTTGCTCTTATCGACTCCTCGATCCTTGATGAAGGTGAGATTTGCTTCCTAATAAAGTTTGAAGTTGCATACATGGATTCTTCAACAATAGGTGAAGTGTTCATGTTTGATACACATTGCTCGAAAATGTGTATGGGATATGTGTCCGACACTTTTGATTTGACATGCATGATGCACCTAAAGAACATGTCCAATAAATTAATTTTATTATTGAATACTACTATAAAAAATAAAATAAAAGTATTAAATAATAGAAATATCTAATAGTAGCCATGTGTCTTTTTGTTTGGAGATATGACACGCATGATGCATGGATAAATACCCACAGTCAATACACGTAGCCGGTCCATGTAACATGGGTTTGAAGTATTGGTTGAAACAGAGTCAATTTGACTGAGTTAATTTCGGATCAAAGAAATCATTCAGAGGTAAAATTAATGAGATGGAATTGAATCAGTGTGGATCTGAGATGGGATTGCTTGGACTGACTAATCAGATTTTGCATCTCAATTTCTTATTTTGGTCATTGGGTTATCCATTTGAATGGAAGGATTTTATGTTTTTTATATTTAGATAGAACCTCTCTTTAATATATTAAATCTCCCAGTAACTAGTGTGTTTTATTAGTATATTGACTTGCATCACTTATAAAATTTGTAAAAGAACCTCTTGGGCCTGTTTGGATCAGTTTTTGTAGAATAGTTAAATGTAAATGATGTAGTTAAAACAACATAGTTTGGGGGGAGGGGGTTTGCAACCATGTTTAAAAAATAATAAAATTGCAAGGTTTTACTTAAGGAGTGGTTATGGGAGTTGGAAATAAGTCGTCAAAATCTGTGTATATAAATAGATTTGTATATACATGCGTACTTGATGTCATGTTCTTTTTATGACTCCTTTATATGACAAAGGTGGGTTAAAAATTATGTACTGTAATTTATACAATTGATTTAACATATAAGTTTATATATAGTTGCCATGAAGCTTTGTTTGTCATGTACAATTTACATTTTAAATATATATTTTTTAATGACTTGTTATAATTGTATCAATGTTCTACTTTATTAAAGGTCTTTTGTGTCTGTATTGTGTGACCGTGTATATCTTGCATTTGTATCCGCGTGTCTTAATCTGTTGGATTACTTCTATTTTTGTACTTCTACCCATGTATGAAACTGATGATACCTATTTTGATGCAGTATTATAGTAAACTGAATGACCTTGAAGTTTAAATGACATTTCAAGTTACTTGGTTAAATATAATGTCCATTGATCTTATGTATTTTGGCTTCGCTTTGTTATTATCATTCTTCATGAACATACCCTGCTCAAAGAAAACATATCTGTTTATTTTTTTAATGCAATGAAATGATTATACTTCGTACAGTAGTAATGCATCCTTTTGATAAATGTTAGATCTTAGGAAACATGAAGAAAGATCCCCCATCATTAATGCTGTCTACTGTGATGAAGAATCTTCAAGGACTTGGCTATGTGCTTAAGGTAATTTTCTTTGGAACTTCTGTATCTTTTCAGACTGGATTTCTTATTTATGTTCTTCATTGTTGGTGTTCGTGAATGTTGCTTTTTCTTTACACACAAAAGCGGGCACGTGCACCTACACGCATGCACAATTAGACATTCATTGTTCTCTTTTTAGTTTCCATTTTATAAACACTCCTTTTTAGAGATGTGTTACATGGAGTGTTCCATTCCCCTCAACGTACATATACATCCGACACATGAGCCAAATAAATTCCCCCTAATTCTCTACATTTGATGATGGAAGAAGAAGAAAAAGCTCTGATGGGATAAGGATGGAAACCCTTGGCTCTGGTATTGAGTTAGCGCAATGTCCAATGATGTGGACCTAGGGGGGGTGAATGTATCTTGTAGGCAGCTTTAACCATTTTTAACTACTTTTTGAATTTTAACGAATTTATATAAATTTCAAGTTCAAATTAAAGCTAAATAATAAAATCCAATCAGTCCATCATGCTACTCAACATATCAATCACATAGTAATCGAATAAAGCAATAAAAAGCATAAATAATGGACAGCAAGACTTTGACATAGAAAACCCAAATGGGAAAAATCACGGGACCTAGTCTAGACAAATCAAATCTACTATGCGAAAGAGATATGACGCTCAGTTCCCAAACCCTAAACCCCTAGTTACTTCGCGACACAGTCTGATCTATCAGACTCTCCACTTAAGTCTCCAAACACACAGTCTGCTCCTCACGCAATCCACTTCTGAATTTATTTGATTTCTAATGACCAGTCGTCCATTTCAATCTCTGTTTGATTGTATGACCGTTGGTGTTGAACTCTCATGAATCAGCTCCACGGCAAATATGTTGTCAACACACTCATGTAACACTCACCAGTCTAATGCGATTGATGAATGCTAAAAGAAAAAATATGAATGCACTCTATTTTGCTCAAAAGATATGTGTATATTCTTTACGTCATAAGGTCTGCCCTATGTTAGTGTATTTATAATGGCAAATCAGAATTGTGGAGAGAATAGAGTTTTTAGCATTTAAATCTGAAAAGGAAACTGCTTTCTTGAATAGGTCAATCAATCGAGAGACATGTCAATTAGTTAATTTGACCAGTAGCCCTCAATCGATTGAAGTACTATGCAGTTTTATGCTAGAAAATTTCCAGAAAAGATAGTTTCTAAAACACTTTAGAGTTAAATGCAAATCAATTACAAACTCTTGTTTTGATTCACAAAAGATGCTTGCATAAGTCCTATTGCTCTAACAAAGCTCAAATTTGATTGTAGAGAAGGGTTTCTACTTCTGAGATAGATATGAACCTTTTTTTACATCACATTTAAGTAAATTCTAATTGAGAACACTCTTAAAGAACAATAAAATCATACATTATACCATGTTATATGAATTTGCAGGACATGCATATGTTCCATAGCTAGCCTTTGGATTAATTTCATGCTAGTTTTCCATATCCCAATATTTGGGATTCAGGGTGGTCCGACACAGACATACATGCATCCAATACACATTGCCAAGTTAATGAAACATTGTTCTGAATAAATGTGTACCTTTAAGTTTTATTTTCGTCAAAAAGGAACCATTTGTTTTCCTTGGGAAACATCCAAGAGTGCCCGGACTGAAAATGGAAGAGTTGAGTAAATAAAAAATCTAAAGGAGGTCCCTGCCCTTGTTTAGCAGGTTTATGGAATTGGCATGGGCACAGTATGGAAGTTCCCCTACTTTTTTCTGTACGGATCTTTTTAAAAAGTAAATAATTAATTAAATCTTGTAATTAACTTATTATGAGAAGCTTATTCATATTTACAATGTTTGTTGGACAGATTTACGCAATGGAGGATGGTGAAGCGCGTTCTATGTGGGAGAAAATAGGTGGTCGAATCTCACTCCTAAATTCTGAGAGATATGGCCATATTGATTGGTCAATGTATGTTTGCTATTTGTTTTTTGCGGTTACATTGAAGACGATTTATGTTTTATCAGCAACTATTTTGGTGACATTTACTACTTCTTAATTAACTTTAGTTGGTATAGATGGTTTATGTTTTGTTCAAATCTTGCAGTTTTGAAGGTATCATTGTAAACTCTCTTGAAGCAAAATTTGCCTTGTCAAGGTATGGCTGTATGAGCTTGTTCACCATAGATTGCAAATCAAATTTATATCTTTTAAGTTTCATCATTTTCACGGAATACTTGCAAATGTGTTGTTTGTTGTTTGTGTAAATGTTTTGTGACTCTCAATGACTCCATATGGCTAACATGTATTTTTGTAAAATACTCCTATTTTTCATAGAAAATGAGAAAGTTGGAGAAGCACTTAAAAACAGTACTACATCGTTGGCCCATTGATATTTTGACGCAACCTAAACAGACAATCTCCTACTAGGTATACTCACCTTAAAATTTAATATTGTTAATTCTCTCAAAGGAGAAAATACTTCTCTTAGGTTGTTCTATATCTTAAAGACCTTCATTAATCAAGGAAAAAGAAACAACCTTTAGATACTCTGAACTTTACTAATCTAATGAGCTACGAGGTATAGTTCATATATGCAGAGTGTGATATTTGGGCAAGTTCACATTTAACTCCTCTAGGAGTTATATTCCTTTACATTTTGTTCTTAGAATAAAGCCATTAAATAGGCATTTGATACTCTATATTTATCCTTCCAAATTTTTTTTTTCTTGATACTATTGTTACTCTTGTGATAATCAGTTCAAGTCGGTATTTGATATTATTAGATACAAAACAAAATCAAATAATATCAATTATAGAGCAATTAACTTGCAGTGGTGGTCATTTTGAGTTCTTTCTTGAGTGTCTCTCTCTATCTCTCTTTCTGTGTTTGTGTGTGTGTGTGTGTGTGTGTGTGTGTGTGTGTGTGTATGCATCTCCCCTCTCCAACTCTACAGTCTTGTAAGGGATCCTTACTTCTCGTTGCTTTGTTTTTGATGCTATAATTTTTATTTTCATATTTATGCAGCCTTATGCAGGAGCCATTTTGTTCTGTACCACTTATATGGATAATTCATGAAGATACCCTTGCAAATCGTCTTCCAGTTTATGAGGACATGGGCTGGGAACACCTTGTTTCTTACTGGAAAAATGCTTTTAGCAGGGCTGACGTGGTTGTGTTTCCAGATTTTTCTCTACCGGTATATCTGACACTTTATTATTCATCCAGTTACTTTCTTACAATATATTCAATTAGCATAATGTTTGGCATTATTATGTTGTTGCTCAATTATTATTCCTTCCTGTATCAGATGTTATATAGTGTGCTTGACACTGGAAACTTCTTTGTGATTCCTGGATCGCCAATAGATGTTTGGGCAGCAGAAAGCTATAGTAACACCCACTCCAAATCTCAATTAAGAAAGGACAATGGGTTCAGTGAAGATGATATGCTGGTTCTTGTTGTTGGAAGTTTGTTCTTCTACAATGAACTATCATGGGACTATGCGGTGGCAATGCATGACATAGGACCTCTACTAATCAAATATGCAAGGGGAGAAGATGCTGGAGGGTCATTCAAATTCATCTTTCTGTGCGGAAACTCCACTGATGAATACAATGATGCTTTACAGGTATTCAATTGTTGATTAGTGTATATTAGGCAGGCTATCCCTTTTTTCATACAAGTCTTTACACTATATGAATTCATATTGGATAAAAGGATTACATAACAGGGAAGGGTATATACAGTTATCAAAAAAAAAAAACAGGGAAGGGTATATAGAAGTGATTCAAGCGAATTTCTCGTGAATTTTTGCACGGATCAATCTTAACTTCTCAATAATTTCATATGGTTTCTAATTTTTTTCCCTGAATATATGGGTTTTTCAAATTTCACCCAACTTTGTTCTGAAAATATGTTATTTAAACTAGTTGACTACGTTGTAATTTTACTCTGTAAGTGCTTCCTATGTTATACGTGTGTGAGCATGTTTTTTCCCTGTGAGTGTGCTATAAAGAAGCCTCATCTAATGTTTCTTTGCAATAACTGATGGAAAGATTTGGATTATACAAATGGTTTTGATGTTTAAGCATGCTGTCGTCGTCCTTGTGAAAAATCTCTGTATGATATTTATACATATATAGTATTTAAAATGAGATATTTGTTTGAGACAAAGTTTATAATTTAAGAGGAGGCCTTGAAGGTAGAGCTAAAAAACTGTGAACAGGTGCAGCTCTAAAAGAAGGTTAAAAGAACTACAGTGATCTTGTATAGTTGTATTAGTCTCACAAGGTGTTTATCCAATTCAACAGTCCATTCAAATCATAACACAAATATGGTGTGTGGTGTTGTGTGATGTAATTAATAACCTTAAACCATGGTTTGCTTAGAAACTGCAGACAATAACATACAGAGATTTTTATTAAATACCGAAAAAAAAAAACATATTCTGCAGGATTGGCAGTGGCCTCGGTATGCCATGTCCATCTGTGGGCGGTCATCATTTTATTTTATTAAAGAAAAGTGAAACAGATTACATTTTACCAGTGTTTGCCGTTCTCACAAGTATGGTAGATCATTTTGTGGAGCTGGGAAGCTGTTAACTAGAAGCATTCATAATAAGAGTTTTTTTATCAATGGTTTAGATGAATCTTATTTTATGTGGCATTGGTTCTTTACATTTACTTCGTGAAAATTGAGCTAGAAGTCAATGTTCTGTACTTGTTTTCAAGTCACTTGCTTAAACTCATAAGGTTGAGTGAAATCAGAAATCCTTCGTATCATGATCCTATATATTTGCATCACAATACTCAGGAATAAGGTATGCCATATCCATCTGTGGGCGGTCATCATTTTATTTTATTAAAGAAAAGTGAAACAGATTACATTTTACGAGTGTTTGCCGTTCTCATAAGTATGGTAGATCATTTTGTGGAACTGGGAAGCTGTTAACTAGGCATTCATTATATGTTGAGTTTTTTTATCAATGGTTTAGATGAATCTTATTTTATGTGGCATTGGTTCTTTACATTTACTTCTTGAAAATTGAGCTAGAAGTCAATGTTCTGTACTTGTTTTCAAGTCACTTGCTTTTAGTCAAACTCATAAGGTTGAGGTGAAATCAGAAATCCTTCGTATCATGATCCTATATATTTGCATCACAGTACTCAGGAAAAAGTTTAATAGATTTACTATTTATGCTTTGAGGTTTGAATTATTCTACGGTACTTGTGTAGGAAATTGCTACTCATCTAGGACTTGATCGTGGTTCTCTTAGGCACTATGGCATGAATGGTGATGTAAACGGATTATTATTAATGGCTGACATTGTTCTATATGGTTCCTCCCAAGATGAGCAGGGATTTCCACCAATACTTACACGAGCCTTGTCATTTGGAATCCCTGTCATTGCACCTGATTTTCCTGTCATAAAAAAATATGTAAGTTTGATCAGCTTTTGGTTTTGTTTGTCTGATTAGCTGAAGTATAAGGGGTACTTTGCTTTTGTTCTTTAACTCATTAATAACGTGTTGAAAATTTACAGGTTGTTGATGGAGTCCATGGGATAGTTTTTCCTAAGCACAATCCTGATGCATTGATGAGATCTTTTTCACTTTTGATATCAAACGGGAAGCTCTCTAAATTTGCTCATTCTGTTGCTTCCTCTGGGAGGCTGCTTGCTAAGAACACATTGGCATCTGAATGCATTGTTGGTTATGCAATACTTCTGGAAAATGTTCTCACTTTCCCATCAGATTCACTGTTGCCAGGCCAGGTTTCTCAGATCAAACAGGCTGCATGGGAGTGGGATTTGTTCAGGAGGGAAATGGAACAGAGAACTGGTGACATGGAAAATATGAATCAGAAGGATACTCATGCAAGAAAATCTAGTGTTGTTTATTCTATTGAAGAAGATTTGATTCACCTGGTTGATTCAAAGAATATCTCTCAGAATGAATCTGAGATTCTGGCACTGGATATTCCGACTGAGCTAGATTGGGATATTTTGAAGGAAATGGAAAGTTCTGAAGAGGTCGAGAGGCTAGAAATGGAAGAGGTATGGAAATATTTTTCAAAAATGATAGTTTCTGGGGTCACCCTCTCCCCTTCGCTTTCTCTTTATCATTTCTATCATTCTTTTTCTTTAATTTTTTGGGAGGGCATCTAAAATTGAGCATGATATTGACCTGTAGATTGATGAAAGAATGGAGAGAGATACTGGTGTATGGGATGACTTATATCGTAGTGCCCGAAAAGCTGAAAAACTTAAGTTTGAAGTAAATGAAAGGGATGAAGGAGAGCTAGAAAGAACAGGCCAGCCATTATGCATTTATGAGATCTACAATGGAGCTGGGGCCTGGCCATTTTTACACCATGGTTCTTTGTACCGTGGGTTAAGTCTTGTTAGTTCTTCTGACTTGTATTTTTCTATTTTCTTTTTCTTTCTTTTGTCCATGTTCATTTTTATTGTTAATTTCCTCAGAGCAACACAGCCCCATGCCACTAGTTTGGTGCTGGGGATTCTCTTCTATCATCTAGGCCTGAAATCACTATCTCTTAAGTCATACTTTTCAGATCACATAGTTTTATTGATCATGTAAGTTATGCACTTTTTTTACTCATCTACATTCAGTACAAACTTCTTTGAGTTGAAAATTCTACTTGTATGTACAATCTCCAAGTTTCTCAATTGCTTTCTAGCACTCATTTAGTTCCATTCTAGCTTATTTACAATGTGTTACATGTTTTTCTGTTCAAGTATTTTTAAATTCTATTCAATGTTAAGAATCCTTACTACTCTTGTTGTTTTTTACTTAATTCAGACAGGCTATATTATTTTATTGCTTTTAAATGCGTTTGTATTGCTTCTGATCTTCCTACATTCTGTCAGTCTAGGAGAGCACGAAGATTGAAATCAGATGATGTGGATGCAGTTGGACGGCTTCCTTTGTTGAATGACACATACTATCGGGATATCCTCTGTGAGATTGGAGGTTTGTTTTCTGTTGCAAATAGCCTGGATAACATTCACAAGCGACCTTGGATTGGGTTTCAGTCATGGCGTGCTGCTGGCAGGAAGGTATATCTTCATTGGTGTCTTATTTACATCATATAATATAAATATATATAGCCAGCCCCTTTTTATTTTTATTTTTATTTTTAATATGTATATATTTATATACACGTAGCCAGTCTTGCTTGGCGTTTGTCTATTTAGATCACATAAGATTTAATTGAAAGTGTGATTAATTTTTATTTGCAAGTATATTAAATTAAAGTGCTGTTCAATCTAGTATCTTCGATCAAAATGAAATTTTGTATCGATGTTTCACCATCAGTAAAGTATCACATCCGTTCTTATTCTTTCTTCTCAATCATAAAGCAGGTTTCCTTGTCTACCAAAGCTGAAGGGGTTCTGGAAGACACAATACAAGGGGCAACTAAGGGAGATGTAATATACTTTTGGGCTCCCTTGAACATGGATGGGGGACTTACAGGAAGCAGTGATGTACTTACTTTTTGGTCCATGTGTGACATCTTAAATGGGGGAAACTGCAGGTATGCGTTGCCAAATACTGTTCCATTCTGATGTTATGTCAATGCGGGTCATTTGTAGTTGCTTCCAGGGTGTACTTGATAACAAATTTATGGAAATCTAGCTCTTAATTGTCCTCAGATTTCAATATGAAAAACTGTTTGGGGCATTATAAGATTGGTTTAGTTTACAATTTGCTTCTACATGATTGCTTAAACATTCCTGGATTACTAGTACTTACTGCTATGTAAGAGAAGTAGTTCTTTAAATTCCTGGAAATGACATAGTGAAGGTTGTGACCTTTTATGACAATATCAATGATCATAATAAAAAAAGCAAGAAAAATGTCAAATATAGTTTAAATGAACTATTAAACATTCCTGGATTTGTACCCAACTTCTCATACTTGAAAGCCCAAACATTTTATCACTGGACCAAGGATATCTCGTATATCAATATTTTTTGATAGTACAATATTTCCTTTTTATGGATGTTTTATTTCTTGTTCCTCTCTGCTGGAAATTACGGTCCCATGCACTCCACTTCACCTTGATTGTCTTAAAAATAAAAACGATAAATAAAGATCTTTCTGGATAGCACCAGAAATGAGGGCTGTGACCCAAGCATAAAGGAAGTATACAAGAGATGTGATTCCAAGTCAAAAAAGTTCATATACCTTGAAACTTTAAAAAGGCTTTAGAGACATATATGTTGTGTCAATAGGCCAAAAGAAAAGGGTAATCAGAAGCAACAGTAAGCTAGATTTTATTTATTTATTTTGCTGAATCGACGATTCCACTCGTGATGATCTTCTATTCCACACCCTCCACATAATATGCAATAGACCATATCCAAAACCTCTTACTCCCCGCCCACAAGGGCATGGTCCTCATCCATTTTCCCTACTTTCAGCTTGACTTGGATGGTGAATGCACTGAGCTTCTCTTGAACAGCTTGACTTGATATGTTAAGGAGCGATTAAGTTTTGAGTTCGATCGCTTAACTTGAAAAGCACCACTCTTGGTTTTCTAATGCCATTTTCAAACATTTTATGTAGGTTTCATGCAGCTGTAGTGATTTAATCCTGTTGAACTCCTGAAAGAAGACACTACAAGATTTTTGGCAAATACTAGAAAGCCTTAGATTTATAATAAAGAACTGGAATACGTTTTTGGAGTATATTTTAAAACTTGTGTCTAGTAATTTTCATTTGTCAAGTTGGGAGATTCCAGATTCTGGCACAAAAGAATGCTGGATTAGGCTGCTCGACGAGCACAACTGGGTTCATGAACAAGCTCGTGTTTGGTTGAACATGTATAAATCAGGCTTTAACACTAGAAGCTTTGATCCATCTCTAGCTCAATACAGAATATATCCAGACCAAATTCTCAGCTTGGCTAAGCTTTATTCCAATCCTATCGTCAGCTGAAATCTATTGATTTCTTCCTGCACAGAAAATCCAAAAATTGAGGTGTTTAGATGGGCAGATTTTTTTTTTTAGTTTTTCCCCAAACACTTCCATGTGATTAGACATAGCTCTCAAGTTGCATAAATATTTGGAAATTCATGAGTGCTTGTTTGAGAACTCAGTTTATATTCTTCTGAAAGGACACACATAACTGTATCGTTTGGTTTCCAAATTCATGCAGAACTGCCTTTGAAAATGCCTTCCGTCAGATGTATTCATTGCCAATACATATTGAAGCTCTTCCCCCCATGCCTGAAGATGGCGGTCGCTGGTCTGCCCTGCATAGCTGGGTTATGCCAACCCCTTCCTTTCTAGAGTTTGTAATGTTTTCCAGGTATTATTACAGGGAAAAGGCTTTGGCATCTTGCTACAGTTTCAAGTATCAAAAGGTGTTTAGTAGTTGATCAACATGTGTTTTAAACAATTCCTTTTTCTTTTTCTTTTCTTTTTAAAATTAAACGACAGGATGTTTGCTGATTCTCTCAATGGATTGCATACCAATTCAAGCCAAATTTCTACTTGTTTGTTGGGTTCCTCAAAGATTGAGGTAAGTCGCATAAACTAGAAAGCACCTTGCGTTCAGGTTCCAATGGGATTTAATGAAATAGGTTCTCATTTTTTTGGCTGGTTAATGATTAGCAGAAAAAGCACTGTTACTGCCGGATTTTGGAACTCTTGGTCAATGTTTGGGCCTATCATAGTGCGCGGAAGATGGTTTACATTGACCCAGTCTCAGGTTCATTAGAAGAGCAGCACCCTATTGAACAGCGGCAGGGATATATATGGGCTAAGTACTTCAATTTTACTCTCTTGAAGAGCATGGACGAAGATTTAGCAGAAGCTGCAGATGACGATGATCATCCAAGCGAGATGTGGTTGTGGCCTTTGACAGGGGAAGTATATTGGCAGGGTATATACGAAAGAGAGAGGGAAGAAAGATATAGATTAAAGATGGACAAGAAGAGGAAAACAAGAGAGAGATTATTTGAAAGGCTGACCAAAGGATATAAGCAGAAGAAACTTGGAGGATAGGAAGCCGCCCAAAATGTTCGATTGTAATAATCACGAAAGGCCTAACACAGATAACCAATTTTTTTGTTCTCTACTCCAGGAAATGAAAGAGGACTGGTAAAGTTTGAGCTCAATTCTTTCACACTGACAAAAGGCGTAATCATATTCTTCTCATTTGACTGGAAAGGGAGTGGGCACGAGGCATAGCTGCAGCACGCTAGCTAGCAATTTTAGTTCTCGCTAGCGTCTCTGAAGTCCCTTTTACTCCCATCAATTGAAACGGATAAATAGGATGTCAGGTTTTTGAGGTGCGACCAGTTTTAGTTGAAATTCTGTCACATAATTCAAAATGTCCGTCGAGTAGCTAAACATGTATTATTTCATTGATCTATATTCTTGTTCTTGCACGGTTCCTCTTTTTTATTTTCGGAGAAGTTTACTTTTGGATCCATGATACATGATCAATCTTGTTAAATAACAAAGCAATATATACAGAATTTTTGACCCTGCTGTGTGTGTGGATTGCCTTTGCATGTGTATTCCTGTAATCCTATCATTATGCTACAGGTACTTTAGGTGTTCTAGTTTTAACATTGAATTGTAGGCATGGCTCGTAGTCACGGTTTCGGTTGTAGTTGCGGTGCGGTATAACGGATTTGGGTAAATATCGGTGTAGACTGGCAAAACCGGCCGGTTCATGAAAGTGTGTAACGATATCGGACTTTTGAAGAAGGGTTACGAACCATATGGCCAACCATGATTGTAAGAGCTCATGTTCTTCACATTGTTTGCTGGCATCTTCTCAGATTTTTTAAATTCTCCAAGCAACCTTTGTCTTTTGTACAATTCTGATCTGGATGAGAATTGTAACTTCTATTAATTATATAACAATATTAAATGTTCATTGTTAGGTTTGGTGTATCTGTTTCTATTTTAAATCTTTGCTTGAAGAGCGTTCATCATTTTTTGTTGATTCCATTAATCTCCCGTGAGTTTTCCCATCTTTTCTAACAACTTTAATTTAATAGGGTTAGGTCTCACCTTTTAAGAAATTAATTCATTCACTTATAATTCCCACGAAACTCTTTTATTAATTTCCCTTGTCCTTCAAAGCACGTAAATTTATATAATTGTAATGTAAAATAAAAGAAAATTATAAAATAATATATTAAGTATTATACTAGTGTTTTGGGATCCATAAATTTGATAAAGAATGTCTAAACTGAGGTAGTATGCAATAATATTAACAATCATACTGTTACATGACTGAGGAATCATGGTATCATGTCATTGATTAAATCAGATGTGTTCAATTTTTCAACTTGGTATCATGTCATCGATTAAATCAAATGTGTTCAATTTTTCGACTTTGTATCACTTGATTGATTAATGTGTAGGTGGAAAAACAAGACCAGTCTTAATATATGTCCACTTTTAGCTACGTCACAAATTTGTTGCATGTGATAAATGCTACCTTATCAAGTAGGGAGTGCATTAAAGCATTTCTAAAAAATCACAATGAACCACCAAGCCACCTTCTAACTGTCAAACATCAAGAACATATTTTTTTCCCCCTCTTTTCCTCCTCTACTTAATTTATAAAGGGAAAGACAGGATATATAAACACACACATACACACTAACTCAAATATATATATGTGTGTGTGTGTGTGTGTATAGCCATAAGGGAAGGCTTGGTATAAACTCTTCATATTTCTTTTGGTCATATTATTGTTTGGAACTTAGTATTGTGTAGGAAAAGAGAGAATATTAAATGGAAAGAAACAAAAGTTGGAAATTGTTGAACCACCATGACATAAGTAGGAATAAATAGGTTGAGATTTAGATTGTTGTTGTCTGCGCGCTTAGCCCACAAAACTTTAATATATATATATATATATATTGATACCATTACCAAGGGGTGCTTAGTTTTTTCAGCACAATCATGGTGGAGTAATGATCACCCCTCATCAACAACTTGCATGTTAATCACCACTAAGGTTAGGCAAAAGCCAACATAGATTTCTGGTTTATAAAATAAAATATGATACGAGTCAACCAAATTACAAATAAACTTTGTTATTTTTTTTTTTTAATAAAAAATATACTTAAATTTTATAATAATAATAATAATAATAATAATAAAAGGTTATAATATGGAGTCCGACAACCCGACAACTTTGATTGTTTTGATTTGAATGAAAACTAGCATTAAAGTTTGATCACAGAGTCAGCTTTGATTCACATCAAAACAGATATCAAAATGGTTGAAATTGTCCAACTATATGATAAACTACTATAGTTATTAGATGACTTTTTTTAATTTGTTGGATACGATGAGTATTGGGATGATTGCATTGGATTTGATGGCTCAAATGTTACAAGGTATAATTTTGGGGAGAAAAGCTGAATATAGAAAAGTTTCATACTCTCGATACTCTCCAATCCGGGAATGTAATAAGGGTGAAAACCAAGCGAAAGGATAAGAGACAGTTCACGTGGAAAGATTCATTGAAAATGGTAGGTATTTGGTAAACCCAACCCAACTCTTCCATTTTTATATAGTGTGAGAGATCTCTGGTAGATAGGCGTATTCAAGGCTCTATCTTGGTATCCTATGCTTCATATATATATATATATATATATAGAGGAGAGAGAGAGACAGAGAAGACATGTTTTTTTTATAGAGGCTGCCACACATTCCATCCATTTAGCATTGAAAACCTAGCTAAGTTCTGTTCATGTAAAAATAAAAATAAAACGAAAATTATCCAATCTAAAAATCAAAGAAGTTGCATTTTCTCACCATTGCCTTTAAATTGAACAATGGAAACTTGGACAAATCGAAAGCATGGATGAATCCGAATGTTAAAAGTTTACTTTAATGGGTGAGCGATTTGTTCATTTACGTACAAACTTAAACTATTAAGTATTGTTACATATTTACTCATTTATACTCGTTTCACTTTTCATCCAATTTGGTATGGGACAAATACCCTTATAATAGTGGCTCACTTCATTATCCATTCAAGTGAAACCCCGTGAGTCCTGCTCTAGTCTAGTGGATCAGACATAGAAAAGCCTTCATGTTTTTATTGGATCCTTTTATTTTGAAGCAAAACTTTATTATTCTATTTATTTTTATAAAATGATTGTCTTGGAACTCAACATTTAATTCTATTTATTTACCGAGAATAAAAAAAAAAACATTTACCCCTAATTTATGCAGGTGTTTTATACCTAAGTTGTAAGTTCCAAGAAAGTAAAACTCATCAAATTAGATCATGCAAAGGTGAAAAAGTTGTTATCTTGTGTGTCACATCCAAACATAGTCAATGGTGCAAAACCACACGGGTGTTCAAGTCATTTCATAAAATACTTAGGTAACTTAGGGGTATTTTTGTCATTAAAGCCTTGACAACATTCCACTCATACCTATATATATATATATATATATATATATATATCAGCTTAAGAAGTAATAACTTCAATAGGCAAATTGGTTAATGAGTTACCAAATCCATTGGAGCTTTTTAGCTATGTATCCAATGGGTAATATTTAGGTTACAAAAGGATGAAATTAATAGGTAAAGGAAATTTTTGCAGATCAACATTAATATGCATAGATAGATTTGGTCACCTTGTTAGACATAATATGATCTAATTAATCTCGTTCAACTTTTATCTAAATTTGTAGATTTGCTAATCTCATCACATTTAATTTAGACTCCATGACTAATATATCTAGATGTTACTACTATATTCAAGGAAGAGTCTAGCATTAATTATCTCACGGTGTTCATGGTACCATGTCATTAAATTGATGACATGGCATCATTATCACCGTTCATTTTCTAAAAATTAAGAAGAAAGATATTCGTGCACAACGTAAATCCACGTTGCTGATAGGAACCACAGATGATCTCCACCTTTCATCTATTATACATACCACCAAACACCATACTGTGCACATCACTGAATCATGTCTCATAACTAATCATATATTCCTTATATTTAATAATTTACCAAAAACAAACAAAAGATAAATTACATCTATATCCCTAAAATTTCGTCAATTTGAACATTCCTCTCATTGTTTTTCAAATTACACTTATTTCTTTTAAGATTTATAAGTAAGTAATGCATACATAATTTTTTTTTTTTATCTTAGTTGGTACTCACACACTCATACTATATTCAGGGGCGGAGCCAAGATTTGAATTTAGAAGGGGCATATTGGAATTTTTTTTAAAAAAAGATAAGAATATGAAGAAGAAAAAGGAAAAGAAAAATGAAATTTGAAGGAAACAAATTAAAACATGATTAAATAATGAGAAATTTGACCTTTTTTAAAAAGGTAATTAAAGGAATTTAAAGAGTGAGAGAAAAAATTTAAAAAACTTTTGGAAACTAATAATTTTAGGAGGCATAATATACTAATTTATATATATATATATGTAAAAAAATAAAATAAAAATCATATATATATATAAGGCGGGGCCAGGGGCACATGCCCCCTAGACACACACTGGTTCCGCGGTTGCCTACACGGGCCTATGAGTTAATGTAAGTAATTTTGTAACTTTCAATTTTAATTCTACTTTAAAAATATATATTTATTGTAATAAAATACAATATACATAAGGAAATAAACTAATTACAATAGAGAAAATCAGTCTGATAAAAATAAAAAATAAAAAAAAAATCAGTGAAATTTGATAAAGGTTACGGTAAAAAACACCCACGTATAAACGCGCATATACAAGAAGATAATAAAATAAGAATAAAGAATAGCAACGAACTTTCTGAGTCAATTACCTTCCAACGCACGCCTCCCTCACCCTTTTTCCTTCACATGTATATATATATACACACATTATATAGAGAGAGAGTCGCGAACTACACACCTCTCGATCTCTCCTTTTCTTGTCCACAACATCCTCTTCATTACACCCATCAAAACAATGTCCACAGATCTACAACTCCGGCAAATCATGCCGGAAATCCGGTTACCGGCAATCAAGCTCCAGACTCCTCCACAGTCCTCCTCCGACGTCACCGCCGACAACAGCAGCGGCATAATTCAGATAGAAAATACCATCTCCGGCGATGACAACAACGAATGTCACACGCCAAAGTCGACGGAACACAAGATTCCGGCGATCCTAAGCTGCCCGCCGGCGCCGAGGAAGCGGAGACCGGTGGCCTCTGCGAAGAGAAAATTGAGCGAGCTTCAATTCTTCGAGATCGTAGCGCGAGAAGAGGTTGAATCGTTTTTCAGGTCCAGTACTGCTTTGTTGAAGCGAAGGTGTATATATACATGAACGATCGATATATATGTCTCATCCAAATTAATTCTCTGGGAATTCAGACATATATGTATATATAAGCTCCTGGAATTGTGTATGTATCACACGGTTTATATATATATATATATATGTCATTTTCTTTCATATTGTTTGTTCATATTTGTCTGATCTGAAAAGATTTAGACAATTTGGATCTGAA